TACGCCTGATTCGTTACGCAACTTTGGTCAGGTAATTTCCAGGTGGGGTCGGAGGCATTACTCAGTGACGCAGTGGAGCGAACGGAAGTGTGCAACAGTGGCAGAGGAATGCGCAATGTGTCTGCGGACTAAAAAGCCAACTTTGACCTGCCTTCGAGTCCGCTCTCGCGTCCCCAAGTCCTAAGTCCTGAGTCCTGAGTCCTGAGTAGCTGCTCTTGGCATCTCCGCAAAAACTTGTCACTTGCATTCAGTCGCTGACAGTTGGCGTGCAGCTTCCTTCAGCTGCCACTGACAGTTGCATTTATTTATTTCCTTCTGGAAAAACCTGGCGAGAGCAGCGAGTGGCGGATGAGCCTGGCGAAAAACTGTAAGGCGAGCATTCGTTACGCTGGTAATTTCCATTAGCCTGGCAGAAAATCAAAATTTCAATATGGAAATATTGAAATATGCATTTGCACAGCTACAAACTTTGCATGCTAAATTAATCTGGGGAGGAGGTGGCAGGTGGGAGTGTGGAAAATCCTGGGCACTCTCTCGTTTGCTCTGCCAAAATATTTAATTATCCATAAATTAGGGCTGCCCTTCACATAGCCCCACTCTCTGGTTTTATACATCAAGTTAACAAAATTGTTCGTTTCTATAGTTGCTGAAAGTTGATGATGCTGGGAAAATTATTTTTAATGCTATTCACGAATGTTGTTTTGTTTAAATGTTGTATCCAAATTGTTGTGTTTATTTTATTTTATAATATAAACAGTATAATTGTGGTATTTATTATGTTATTAGATAGAAAATTAATTAAAGGAAAATCAAATGAAATGAAATGAGAAATAGTAAGTATTTAAACAAAATAAAAATATGTATGACACAATTGAAACTCTTTCCAAGTTCATTCATTCCAGATTTATTGCCTCCGTTGAATCCTTTCACTTAGCCCTGCAAATCGTTTTGATTCAGTTCGCTTTCCCACATGTCTGAGCCCAGAAGGAGCACATCCTTTGGATTTTTTTTCAGCGACCTCCACTTCAGACTCTACAGCTCTTGCTAGAGAGAAAATACAAATTTCTCCGTTTACAATACAAATTATAAATAACGATTTATCATGAGCTGCCGAGGCTGGCTGCCGGCTGATGCATTTGCCAATTGCCCACCTGAATGCGTTCTGGAGTGCCTTCGCATCTTGGCCAGAAGCAATTGCCCGGGCCGAGGACAAAATCCCTGAGCTGCAGTTGCTCGGCTGGTGGAAATAAATTGCCAATGGCAACGAGAGCTTGGCTTCCAGTCAGTCAGCTCCGCTTTTGTTGGGGAGTTTTATGTTTATTTCTTATTTTCTGCAGCCAGACTTCGCTGGCACACACCGTATTACATGCTGGAGTTGATTTGGAAAATGTTTCCGCAGTGCATCTGGGCTTAAAGCGGCTGGAGTGGCTGCTGCAGCAAACGAAAAATAACATTTAAATTGCAAGACGAGTTTCCAAAAAGAAGTCGAACATAAACTCGGCACATTTGCCGCTAATCGCTTCCCCACAGACGCATTAACAATTTATCTTGCCTTATTTTATGCGAAAACTTTTTCGCCAGCGCCACGCCCATGTAACCGCATCGTTCACCTTCTCCATTTGCCGTCGAATCGAAATCGAATCCCCGAAAAGAAAAACATTTGAATTGAAAATCGTGGCGAGCAGAGAAGGAACGAGGAAAATATCAACGGCATGCGCATAATTTCAGCGCACACAGGCATCGCTTTCCACGGGGGAAATGCGAGTACGTGGCTGCCAGGATGGGGGCAAAGGGATTGGATAAGGATTTGGATATTGTGTCTGTGTGTGCTTAGGTAGGCCTTTGGGGTTTCGATAAGGGAAACGTATATTTGGCAGCTTAAGGAGGCACAAAGTTCGATCTACTCTGGATGTTTTGTGTGTGCAGAGGGATTGGGATAATGGAAAGGTAAGGAGCACCTTCTTGACATTGCTTGTGCTCCAATATTTGGATGCTCCTCCAGTGCGGAGAATTTCAAATGAGCTGTACGAAAGTAATATTTTTTGCCATGTTTAAAAGCATTCTTAATGTTCTTAGTATCTTTTGGACACGAAGTACTCTGATTACCTCTCTAACTTTACTTTCAATATACTCTATTTCAGCTTAAAGATCATGCAACATATGCCAAGTAACGCGAATCATAGTTACTTTAGCTTTCAATGAACTGAAAAACACTGCTAAATCCACTTTTCACACAGTAACCCTGCCCCCTCCCCTTTTAATGGAAAGTTGCAGTTCAATTTTCAGCAGCTGCCAGTTGTCAGTGTGTTGAGCAGAGTCCAGCCCGATCAAATCCAATAAATTCGTAAAATAAAATGTGCCAATAAATTGCTGTCTCCACTATCCACAAGCTGCAAAACTGAAACTAAAGTTAAATTGAATTAAAATTCAGAGCGCTTAATGTGCCACACACACATACACACACACGGAGGGAGGGCAGCCCCCTTCGAGTCTTCACATGTCGCAGATTTTTCAATAAACTAAACAATTTACGAAAATTGAAGTTTATCTCAATTGTGCAGCTGTTGTTGACAACGCTCTTCGTAGTCCCTACACTCCTCCAACCCCCTATGTATATGGCACAGTACACTGAGCGCTTTGTCGCGCACCCTCCCTTTCGGCCGAGAACTCAATTTGGCAATAAACTGGCACTCAAAGCTCATGGATTCAGGACACCCCGAACCTCGAACCCCAAACCCCGAACCCTATAGATGAGGCACGATGCCTTTGTGAAGTGGGGCACAAATGCGCTTAGTTGCTTTATTGGTCAAGCTGTTGTGCGTGGATAAAACCCTTTTAGTGCACAATTGCTATAAATTCGCTTGGCCCATTATGCTGGGCACTGACGACGACGACAACGACGATTGGATATATGTGCTGGGAGGGTCCTGGCATTGTCATGTGGATGGGATCCCGGGACACTTCAAGTCGATGTCGATTGACGGAAAAGCTTATTTTAATCTCATTTGACAGCCATGGGCGAAGGAAGACGAGCAACGAGGGGCGGCGGCGGAGTCGGGAAAACTATTTTCCGGCGAACAGCTGTTGTATCGTGCCAACCATTTGACAAACGGAGACCTTCCGCCTGGGTCAAAGGGTGCTCCCCAATATAATTTCCCATGATTAAGTCCGAAAATTTGCATGGACCGAGCCTGACACATTTTGATGACCCAAGCATTCGGAGGCGTTCGGCAGTTTGGTGTTAGTTTATGGCCAAAATTGGGTCGCCAACTCAGTTCTGGTCGCACATGGTCTCGTTTCTCTATTTTTTTTCTTTCTTTTTGAGCATAATTAACATTGGGGTTAAGGAAATGGTTTGGGGTTTCAGGGTTGGCAATGACCTCTAATTGGAATCCCTTTGTGCTATCGCATATGGTCAGTTGAGCAGCAAAACACTTGAGTGAATGAATGCCAAGAGTCCTTAAGAAGTTGTATATGATTAGTTCAAGTAATTCCGGCTGATGGGATCATTGCGGCAAATTGCTAAGCGATGCGAGCGCATATCCATAAACTGGAGACTATTAAATATCATATTGTCAACTATAAAATAACACTTTGCTAATAAGTATCATACTAAAGGATGAAGCACGAAGGTCATAGAGTTTATATATGTTAACCGGACCGTATTTAAAATACTATACAAATTGATGGGCAAGTCTTGAGTTGCATTTAAGCAAATAAATCGTACGATTTTTGATCAAGCCTGTTTCTTAGATTCCTGGCCAACACCTAGAATAAGTTGATTCCACAGAAAACAAAAAAGGAACTGAAGAAGCGGATTGATGATCCAATCGAGAGCAGAAAAGAGATAAAGATACCGTAAAATTTCGATTTTTTCCTTTGCCCGACAGCTTAATTACATTCGAACGAAAGGAAAATGGCCAAAAAGGCAAATAAACAGGGCCTTTCGGGGAGGTGTGGGAAAACGGAGGAAAATTCCCAACTTAGATGTGGCTATATATACGTATATCCAGTGGCATCTTGGCCAGCTCTCGACTGCAGCCAATCCACTTCAGCACCTCGGGCTTGTGTTGCGGTTTGGCGCTTGTTAATTTTGCAGTGAAAATTGCTTTGGTATTTACAGTGCACTTGGCCGGAGGCGCATTCCGGCATGCCTTAAAGCCCTCCTTCCATTCCCCCGGGAGCCAGCTTTGTGCTCTTAGCCCACTCCTGCCATCGACAGCTGTTAAGCATTTTCACGTGCAGTCTGATGCTGATGCTGCTGCCAATGCCTGATTGTGTTTGCCCTCTCGTCCTGGCAATCGTCCTGGCCAGCCCCCCCCCCCAAGACGAGCATCTCCACGGACTAATCAAGACGGCCACTTTATGCCACAAAGTGTGCTGCACGAAATTGTGTAACCTACTTATCTTTAAACTAATTTGTTTCCTAGGTTGAGGTCCTCCACATCTGTTCTCCTTCTGGCGCTTTGGTTTTATCAACCTCGGTCGTCCGCTTCTCAGCTTTTTTATGGCGAAGCATTTCGTTACCGACCACGATGCGACCATAAAACAATGCAGCATAAAAAGTGACCCCTCCTCCTTGTCCCCTTCCCCGAAGCCTGCGAAGAGAAGTACTCAAAGCGAATAAAACAAAAGTAACTATAATAAATGTTTGCAAATAAATTGTGAGCTGCTAAAAACGCAGACTCACCCGGGCGGAGAGTCCGCTTTTCTTCAATTTTTGTTGCCTTGACATTAAAAAAGTTGAAGCGCCCTGCTTTATTCGTCCGCTGTTGAGGGAGGAAATCTGTTTTATGCTGAGGAATTTGTGAAATTTTGTGACTGATGACTATGGGAAAATGAAATGGTCGGAAGTGTCCTAGGAGTCCAGTTTCGAAGAGGGAGTAGGGAAAGGAACGGCTGATCCCCAAGTTATAAATATTCCCCACACCAAAGGAATCTCAATCTGTTGGAGTATTGTAAGTCACAGGTGCCCCTTTTGTTAATCAAACACATAGATATATATTGATGTATAGAATATTTTTTGCTAAACTGTATCTGCTGAGTGCTGTGACAACAGATAATTTAAACAATAATAGCGAATATAATGAGATTTCAGATAAACGTATTGGGAGAATGGGGTTGCCATGTCCTGGCCGATCCTCACTGACCCGTCGAGGATGCTGCACTGACCGTCCAGGACTGGGCAAACCTAAACGCACCAATTGTTATCGACCATGGGCTTGCAGTAGCAATTGAACTCTTCAACTTTCATAAGGAGATCGTCAATAAACTGCTGGATCATTCCGGAATAGCGCCTAGTGCTAGGCAGATTGAGTGTGGATCGGATAGTTCGCCTTATTAATTCCTTACAGAAATGGCTCCTAAGGGCTTCCCGATGTGCCGCCATGGTATCTCGGAGTCCTATAAATAATATGCATATCAGTGGGGGTCTGGTTAAAACCCCGCAGGGATTACTTACGCGCCGAGGCCTTTAAAAGGATATTCTTGACATGACGGTCGCGGTTGCATTTGTCGTACAGCAGGAATACCCGCTGCTGCTGCGTTCCAATTCTCTTAGAAAGACTAAATTCTGGTTGTTGGGTCAAAGCAGCATCGGGTCCCGGGAAGGGTGCCTCTGTGTACAACATGGAATTCCTAAACTCCTGACGTCGCTTCGCGAGAAGGGCTCGCCTCTGGGCGATGGCCGCCCGCATGCGTCCGTTATGGAAACGATAGCCAAAGGTAATGGAAAGGACCTCAATTTTGCTCAATAAGCTGCAGGCAAGATTAAGGGATTTAAATTGAGTTCAATTTCCTGAAAGCTTTAACCACTGCCAAGAGTTATGACACATGGAGTACGTACAGAGATCCGCGTAAACCGTATATCCCCGGCAGCAAGCGGTCCTGCCGCATCTTATGGAGAACCTTGGCCAGCGTGCTGAGCATATCCTCGGCGCACTGCATGCGAAGTTGTTTCATGGCCTGGAAGTCCTGGCACTTCATCCTGGTCTGCCAGCCCCGGAAGAGTGATTGGGCCTTGGTGGCCACATCGTGGTAGTATTTTACTTGACGCTCCTGCAGCAGGGCCTCTATTGCGGCAAATCGGTGGCTTCGTACCCAATAGCCGCGCCACCACCTGCTAATAGTGGTTGCGGCCTCGTTCTGCTTACGGAAAATGGATCGGAAAAGCCAGCCACGCACGTGGCATTGTATGATCCTAGCGGCCAAGAACTGTTTGTGCTCGAGCAGAACGGACTCCAAGTAGGTGCTCGGGTCGGAGCTGCAGTCGGAGGAGGCCGAGCTTGGTGTGTCGCTTTCGGGATCCTCGAAATCATACCACACCAATGTGCTGATGTTTGTGGTTAGAATGCTGGACATGGCGTGTGCCAGTGTGATGGGTTTGGTGTTCTATAGTATTCTGAAGTATTTTCGAGTCTTGTCGGAGTAAGTGTTGTTTGACTGTAATACAAAATGTTACTGTAAGATATTTGTAAGTATTAACACAGTGCAAATGAGCTCAATAGAGTTTAAGAAACCTGAATACCTACATTTGGTTCAAACACCGATTTGACCCAGAATCAATGTCTAACATTCATCAAGCAGCGATGCACTGACTCTCTACTTTCGAATACTCCTCATTCAGCTGACTATATCGGGCTTACTTGATTCTTGTATTTGCACATACAGTTCTCGGTGGAACGGGCATTAAGAGCCCCCTTCGTCCCACCACTTGGCACACATATCGAAGACTTGACGGAGCCGAAACCCACTCCGTGAACTGATCCAGGTCGCTCCTCTCTCGCTCAGCAACTCCTCCTCCACTCCAATCAGAGTCGCAGTCAAGCTGTCAGTGGGTCGCTGAAGGATCCGCGGGCAGGGCTCCTCCTTTCGAGCGCATTTGCGGCTTAAAGGATTTACATTGAATACCGAATACTGATACTTCATATCAGTTTAGTTTTCGTAACGTCGCTCTGGAGCCACCAGCTCCTCTGGCTGGAAGAAAATCTTCGATTTCCATAAGTGAATTTTCGCCATGCACACAGGCATGTCAAGTACCCGCATGTGCGCCACTGTCCCCGTCCCCGTTCCCGTCCCCGCAAGTGGCAGTGGCAGGCACTGCGAAATGGTGTCATGTACGAAATGTGAAAATCGTGTTGTACAATTTCATGGCTTGGCTTTTGCCAATTTCCCATGTAAAACCGGGGCGGCTTTCGCTTGGCGCCAAAGTCACCGCCCCTCTGCGCCCTTCTGCGGCGGAGCAGTGCGTATTTGGTTTGCTAATGGGCAACATTTGGATTTTCAAATCAGTTGGAAAATGCACTGAGCCCGTGTTTTTTTTTTCCCGCGCCGCCAGTCCCCGAATCCGATGCAGCTTAAAGCGTCCGTCAATGATTTAGACCCGTGGGATTTCCCAAAGCTGGAAGGCACTAAATCCTGGCGGGGATGTTGGATTCATGATGATTGGGGTTGTCAAGACCAAGGAAAGCGTCACACGGAATCGGAGGCAATAAGATTTTATAAAATAAAAGCAATGGTTTCTTTTGTGATTTACAGAATGACTTAGATACTATAATAAATAAGATGGGTAACGCCCTATGGCGGCAAGTGAAATATATGCTAAGCTGCTTATTGATTGTATTGATTTTCAAACAATTGCAAACACTTTAAATATTATTTATAATTCAGTATTGCTTAGCTTTGGTTTATATTCTTTTATATTTGTTCAGGCTTTTACAACAACTTATCGATTTTGTTTTCAGCCAATACATAGTTCACTTGCCTAAATTCGAATTACTAATTCAATAATCTGTTTTATATGTACAAAAACCCTGCAAAATTTAAACATATAAAAATATAATAATAGTTTTTGATGTATGGTTTATATTTCGACAAAAAATACCTGTACTTGCAACTAAGTCTAATCCTATTTCCCTCTCCACTCATCCATTTTTCAGGCTAAATCGGAAACGGACTCTAGCTCAATCATCTGCCAGCAACATTGTTCAGTCCCCAGTGTGTGGGGGAAGCAGAGTGAAATCATATAAAATACATAGGAGCAAAGTGGAAAAATTGTGTAAAACAGGAAATGAATATGCAAAAGAGGCAGAGGGGATATGAAAAATGCAAATAGCCAAATCGAGTTCAATGAGAAATGCAGCTAACCCGAGCGTATTTACACAATTCCCATTCCCATTCACATTCCACGTGCGCGAAGGTGGCGTCGAGGTCCGAATACCAATGCGACTCACTGTGCAGATTGCTAATTGTGGCTGACTGGTAAACCGAAGAAGGCACCGGCCAGGGAAAATGAAAAATGCATTAAATGCGACCGCAAAATAGAGAAAAAAGGAAAACCAATCAAGGGACGAAAAACAGGGGGAAAACAGGGAAATTGCACATGCTGAGCGCACAAAACAAAAGGATGACAAAACGAGTTAGCGAATGTAAAAATTGATTTCTGCGGTCTGGGCAGCGGATATTGCTTTAAATCGTTCGTTGGACGCAGTGCGATATAAAACATTAAGTGATTTATCAATAACCAATCACATTCCCTGGGCAGGAGGTCAATAAACAACATGCAAAAGCCAGCGCTTAAGCTGCGAAGACTCTTCCTCATCACGGCCGTTTACCTAGCCAGCCTGCCAGGTGAGTTCGTTGTAGAAAGCGAAAGCTTTCACCTGGTTACGGGTTCTACATTCACCCAACCCTATCCCTCTCGACCACAGAACTCTTACAATTTGCCTGAAATATTAACCGAGAATTATGAATGGGGGCGAAACTGTACAAATCACAAATCATTTCCACCCACTCGCCCTCAGGTTGACTGAACTATCCACATCATTTGCGGTTCAATTATGTTGCGGTTTGCCAATTGTGAAAACGTTTCAACTCCGGACGTGTCCCTGTTTTTCTACCATTTGTCTGTCACTCGGGAAAAGCTTGGACAAATCGCATTAAACCGCAACGAGTAGCACAGAACAAACCGAGGCAGTAGCTCAAAAATAGTGTTCTTCAAAGGGGCATTGGAAAAAGGATAAAATTGTAATTTGTATATAAAAATAGCTTATAATAACAAACTAAAGCAAGTGACTTCCGTTTAAACAATTAAATTAGCTTACTTTCTCATAAAGTTGATCAAGAATATGAATACCATGAAATGACATTCGGCTTAGCAGGGTTTTGCGATATATTTGAAACCAGATTCAATGGACTGAATGCATTGTTTCCAGATGGCTTTGTTCCATTCAGTTCTGCACTGACACTGGCATTTGGCTATTCCACCTGCTGATTGTCAATCCTATTATGTCACTGGCTCTGGTCCTTATGTCCGGTCAATCTTCCTTGACAAGTTGGCTTGCGTTGTTCACAGTCGGATGCTTTATTTAATGCCCCATCCTTTGGGCATCACTTTCATAATATTGCAAAAGCCGCATGGCTCCGTCTCTTTGCCAAGCGTCGAGTCCACTTTTCTTTTTTGCAAAAACGCTTTTTATTAATATTTTAGCACATTTTTCTTTAATATTTCCCTCTTGGTGCGATGACTGTTTGTTTGTCACTTCGCCGCTCTCCCTCCAAGTGCAATATGACTCGGATTTCATTTCAGTTTTCCGACTTTCCCCATATTCCCCCTGCCGCCATCTTCGTCTCTGACACTCCGGGCAAAATGGCTGCTGCAATGAGTTGTCGCTTTGTCTGCATTTCCGGCAGCTTTAATTTTATTTCATATCCCCCATGCCCTCCCTCCCTCCCCCAGTCGCTTTGAGTGCTCTCATTCATTGTGAGATTTGGGCCATAATAAAGTTGTAAAAGAGGCGCTCATAAATCCCCATCGTTTTATATTAAAATCTGAAAAAAATTCGAGCAGCACTGTGAGCTGAACTTGAAAGTCACCCAAATGCAAGGCCGGTAAATTCATCACAGTGACTTCCGGTTCCGGTCTAGGCCAGATCTGCACATCAGCTCAATTTTAATTCAGACCAGCCTGCCGCGACCCTCGACTCCTCCCCTTTGGCATGAGGCCAAGTGACTGTGCTCTGAAAACCTCACCAGTCTGTGCCCAGTTAGTCATATTTTTGATATTCCTGGTCACAACCCACTCGTAGTGGCACTGAAACAAAGGGAAGCGGCGACAGGAGCTGCTAAAAAATTCTCATCACGTCTCGCGGATCCTTCACTAGACACGCATTTCAATGACCATCATTTGGGGCCAGCTTTCAATGGAAAAACGTATCTGGGAGGTAGTCCAGAAATAGCACTGCGCTGTGGTACCAAAAATAAATCCATTTCATGTCGGTATTTTGATTTTATTATTTTCTTAATAGATAAACTAACACTTACAAGAGTATTTGAAATCAGTTGAAATTATTAATTCTTTTTAAAGATTTAATATAAAATCAATACAGGTTTTATTAATTTAAAATTATCTTAATTGATATTTCTTTTTCATTTCTTATTCCTTAAATTTTTGCCTCTCGCATAGAAGTTCCCTTAATTTTCTCCAGCTGCTGCCTATTACTGCTGATATTTTTAGACTTTTGCGTTTTGAAAACCGCCAACACACCGTTGGACCGATTTTCAGTACTAAACTCTTGACACCCCCGCAAACACAAACACCCAACAAGACACACACACGCATCCTACGCTACGATACACCCATGTCCCAGCACAGCACACTTGTTGTTGTGACACGCACGCGATGCATGTGGCGGCTGCCGGAAATGCCGGGCTCAACGTCCAGGAGCAGGAAAAAGGAAGAGAACGCCAGGAATCAACTGTTGGCATGTTGATGTTGACGCTTCGCCCCCGCCACCACCACCACCACCACCACCACAGCCGTCCTTTGCCACCCACCGGGCCCCGCTTAGCTGACATTTTTGCCAGCGTAATCACGATTAAACTGTCAACGGCATACTAATTAGATTTTTATTTTTATTGCGCCATGACAACGCCGCGTGACGTTGTCGCGTCCTGCGAACACAACCTCCTCCCACAGGGGCCGAGGTCCTGCTTAGCTACTCTTTTTTTTCATTATTTTTTGTTGTTTTGCTCTTTTCCCGCTGTTGTTGTCCTTTCCAGAGGAGCGCGTGCCTCGCATGACCAAGTGACATTGCAGACAATCGGTAAAAACCACTCCAAACACGGAAAGAAAATATGCTTCGAACAGGATCTGAAAACTATATAATTGAAATATCAAAGAACAGAGATTATCTCATTTAAATGAGGAGATTGTTTTAATATTTAAATACCAGCTGCACAATCACTATGACATTGAAATTAAAAATAATGATTAAATTCCAAAAATATCCTAATTATATCTAAGAATCTTTTTGTCAGTGCTAAAGGACCCCAGAAAATATCAGAGAGGCGGGGGAGCTGTAGATCCCCGGGCGACAGGACCAGATTCGGGACCCTTGGCCGGGCACTTTGTGGCGCCTGCTACTTTGTGATTTATGTCTTATCATATTTATGAAAATTATTGTTATTGATGG